AAATAATCCAGGTGCCATTTATAAGAGTAGACCTTTAAGTTGCATGATTCAATCTGCAATCTCTTTAAGGAGTTCAAGGAGTCTATCCATCGGTAACAAATTTATTAATTACAACGCATTTTATTGCAAGAAAAATTTTAACAATTATTTATTTTTGAACAATTCTTAGATCCATTTTATTATTATCAGAAAAATACTGGTAATTATTCAGTTTTTGGTTTAATGGTTTTTTTTATGTTCTTACTTATTAGTATTAATATTAATATTATTTTAAAGATAAAAGAAAGTTAGAAGATGATTCAGTTGAAGAAAGTAATGACAATGGTACGGTAATTAATTTAATAAATTATTATTTTCATTATACTTTCTATTATTTATTCACATTCATAATTATTTAGAACAAAGTATTAAAAGAAGAAAATTTATTGAAAATGAAAATGAAAATAGTGGTGAATAAATTACACTTTAACGATCGACATATTTCTTTCATAATTTTAATTGATCCTTACGATTTGTAGATTACTTTACAAAAGAAATCGGATTAGATATTAATATGAGCTCTAATCAACCTCGTGATAAAGGCAAGCAAATATGTGTTATATAAAATATAAGTCAACATTATAAAATTTTTATCTAATTTTTGTTTTAAATATAAGGATATGTCACCAAAGAAATTGATCTTGATATCAACGTTCTTTAAATTATATTATACGGTACTGTAAATAGCTGGATTGTTTTAATAAACAAATATATTAATGTTCAGTTATATTAAACCATCGATAGATTAATTTTAAGTAATTACAATGATGATTTTTATTACTAAATCATTTTCATGCATGATAGTAAAATGAAAGTATTGACCATTTATATAATATATACGATTTAATTATTTTTTTTTTTTTATATTACGAACAGTTATTATTAAATTAGTTATATACGGTTTATTAGTAGAGTATATTAATTAAATAAAATTATTTAGTTTTAAAAAATTAACCTTTCAAAAATCAAAAATTCTTGGAATATGAAAACTAAAAATTATATTTTATATCTAACAAAAAAAAAAAAAATTATTAAAAAGTTTATTAAAAAAACGGTATTTTATTAGGATATTGCTAAACATCACAGGTAGTGATGGTCACCGATGGTGAAATTATGATGTAATGCCGGTCAGTATTTTATTAGGCTTTTAATTCTGGTCGAAAATACATCATAATGCTGGTACGGTGACTATCACCCGGTGAGCTTTAGCTTAATTAATTAAAATTGTCGCTTTTGCAAAAAAAAAATGTTTAATTTTCTTTTCTTTTGGAACAAATGATAAGGCAGTTATATGTATAATGATAATATATTTTTCATCCCATGATGGAGAAAGTTCTTTATAGCATAATACTTTGAATCTACTTGTATAATAATAGGTCGTTAAGGTAAAAGCCCGTTTTCAAAATTACGCCCTGGTGTATATGAATCCATCGTATTCTCCAAAATAGGTTTCTTCTGTTTGTTGTATTGTCAGCCTTATGCAGTGATTATTCACAACTGTTCATTTCAGCAGTATGCAATTAGATCATTTAATTTACATTTTGTAGTCGTGAGCTCATTTTTAAAATTTTGTTATACTGCTGTAATTTAAAGATTTTTTTTAGGTATATGGATAAACTTGTACTGTATGATTTGGATGCAAAAGAATGAAAGGGTACATCAGGACGAAAACAAAAGAAAGAAAGTGACAGGACAAAAAAAAAAAAAAAAAAAAAGTAAGGCGTCAAGAACAAGAATAACAAAGGGAATGACATGATCGAAACAAGTTGAAAGGGAGGCATCTGAAACGAAAAATAACAAAAGGGATGCATCAGAAACGAAAAAAAAATGAAAGCAATAAATTGAGTTAACTAACTTATTTTTATTAATAAAATTTTCTTTAACTGATACGTTATAATAATTATACTGCGTGGTAACATGGTTAAATAGACCGATCGAGTTCGAGTTGATGGGCCAGGTAAAAGTAGTGGATCCAATACTCTCATAACTGCACAAATTAAAATAATATCTTTCTCATATACTGAATTAATTCTACAATGGATAAATAATAATTATCAAAAAAAAGTTTATGACACGATAAAATCCACGATTTATATATAGTTCAACTGTTTTATGAACAAGATCTTTTGTCATCTTAGAACAAAAACGAATTAAATAATAAAGAGTATAAATAATAAATGAAAATAAAAAAAATGAAAGGAGTAAAAAATAATGTATATAATATTATTAATATTAAATAGGAATATTTTGTATAATATGAATTTTTTACATACTTATTTAATAAAAAATCGATTGGCAAAAGTGTATAAAGAAATGATATAAATAATACAAATTTTATCGTGAATAAAATGTGTAAAGGTATGCGTATTATGTTTATTATAATTAAAATAATGGATAATGTTGAAATATCTAAAATTTGAATTAATATGAAAAACATTATTTCAGAATTATACGAATTGATCAGTTTAATTTTTTTTAGAAATTTAACAGAATTGAAATTCCAACATTTTTTAACGAAATATAGAACATCTCTGATTTTTTCTAGTACTGAAGCATCTATTAAAAATTCATCGATATAGTAATCAGTGCAATGGCGACCGTTAAGGAAAGTGAATAAATTGGGTAATCAGGTCTTTGTATGATCGTCATTAATGGAAAGAAATATTCCGTACCAAATGAAATATATTACAATGATGGGAATGTATAAAATAATAATTATAGGTGAAAATAGTAACAAATAAATTCTTATTTTCAAATTATATTCCTTTGCAAAATGAATGAATAAAGCTGATATAACGAAGGAAAATACCAAATTAATGTTATTACAAAATTTGTCATCGAACATAACATATATATAGGTAGCAAATATATAAATTCAAGAAGGACCATGATTATAAGGATCGCTAGAGAAATATACCTTAAAATTATTGAAGTCATTTTTTAGAGCAGGAAATAAAACAAAGTACAACCTGAATTAGTGTCGTATATATATTTGCATATATTATTGCGTCATACTGTAGTAGATCGCCAGTGTCAGGTGAAATTTTGTTTATAATGTGTCTCTCCAGAATAATCAATTGAATGTCAGATAATTGTTCACAAGGTGAAACAATTTAACAAACCAAGACAAAATACAAAAAAAATATAGCGGAATTAAAAAAATTGACTAATCATATAATAATAGTAGGGTTACTTAAATAATAATATTTACTTATTACCTTTCTTTCTACAATTTGACCAATTTTACTATCTATTCATTACAGATTTTTATCTCTATTAAAATATGTTAGCAATGAATTGAGTAATAAAACTTATCTTTATTAATAATTTTTTTTTTTTTTTGTTAATACATTATAAATTTTTAAGATTTGATCAGATTAAGATATTTTTTTTCCCTTATTTTAAACGTTAATATTATAAGAGAAAATTTTTGTATCCATAATGCAAAAATACATTCTAATCATATGCCTAGAAGCTGTTATTACCTTCTCTAATAATTTTTTAGTCAAGCTACTTGTCAATGTTACACAATTTTTACTTAATGAGTTGACCTATAACATATATTGCGGTATTCTATTTTTAGTCGATTTGCATCAGATTTTTGAACCATATCTCATCCTTCTGTTGCTTCAAACTTTTTAAGTTACAATAAATTGTGAAGTGGTAAGACGTTGAATTTCACTCAAATACTACTCCTTTGACTCACAAGTGTGAATTTATTTCTTGCTATCATTTTTCCTATATAATCTTTCGTTCCAAGTCATTTTTTTTTTTTGAAAGGCCTTATAAAGAAGGTCGTGTGAAGAAAGGATGTTATTTAGAAGCGTACGAAGTATTTAATTTCTGCACGTGATTGAAGTCACGTGACATTTACCAACAAAATTTTTAATTTTTACAGTGGTACATCAAACACCTGGGTAAAGTTATCCTTTCAGATGGCTTGGTTTACAGTTTTATATTTGTATTACTTCTGATTTTATTATATAGTTTCTTTATAATCATTATTAAAACTTATTTACTCTGAGAAATAAAAAAAACTGAGAGAAATAAAATTTAATTTTTAATTAAAAAATAATTTTACAACGATATTATGCATGCTTTATTTTACAGGTCACACATCATTTAGTTGACAAAGTTATTCGATAAATAACTCGTCTCATTGAATTTTATGTAAATATTAATTTTAAATTACAATTTAAACTCATGAAAAAACCGTTGAAAATAAGCAAAAAATCCCTCAAAACTTAACCTTGTAAAACATTTATGACGATTACGCAATTATGCACCTCACCCTACATACTGTATATATATTCAGGGTTCCATTATCCCTTCAGAAAGACGAAAAATGTTCCAGAATCTGATATGCCTTTGATAATGAAGATTTTTTTTTTTTATTGGATTGGGCTGAAATAAACGTTTTTCATTATTTTGTTTTGTTTACATATTACATAACATATTACATAAGAATAATTACATGAATAGGAAATATTAAAATAAAAATCTATTGTGAAAATTTAAGGGGTTTGATTAGTTCTGATCAAAATCTCATCACTCTTACACAGATTTAAATATTTTTTTATTTTAATGGTGCACAAGATGTGTCAAGATTATTATTACAAAACAAATAATAGCGTAGATTTCATTGCGTACTGTATATTATACTTGAAAAAGAAAAAAAAAAAAAGGTATTTTACGTCATTGTTACAAAGTGATCGAACATTATTTAAGACTTCTTCATATGATTTCCTTTTTAAGTGTCCCATTTTAAATTAATTTTATTTGTTTGGTAGAATCAATAGAATTTTTAAGAATTTAATGAATTGACCAAATTCGGAAATTTGTAACACAAAAATCATTCATCGAATGATGCAATGTGTGCTGTAGATCCTTCCTTTTTTGGAGTATAATCGGCAGGTCTTTTCTTGATATATAGAGTCCCTATAATGTAATGAAAATTTTTTAAATTTTCAATACATTATAGGAATTCTCTGATGATCAGCTTCAGATTCAAATCCCAACATCCAAATCTTTATTCGCTGTTTTGTCAAAAAATCGGTACCAGGTTTGCTTATGCAAAAATAATAAACCCAGATGGAGTCCCCTAATAATCGTTTGGAAAAAGATGAATCATCCAGTGGAAATGAAGAAATTGATAAATTCATTAAGGAAACAATCGACGAAAATAATTGTAATTATTATTACTACTATTATTACAATCATCCATTATTTCTTGAATGGGTACCATATGAGAGATTTGAAAACATAAACCAAATTGGTGAAGGTGGATTTGCAAAAGTATATTCTGCAACATGGAGTGATGGTAAAATAAAATATGCTAAACAAGATGATGGAAAATGGAAAAAAATAGGTTCTGAACCTATGAAAATTGCTTTGAAAAGAATAAAAGGATCACATAATATGCCACCTGAATATTTAAATGAGGTATTTCATCTCACATGTTATTTTATATTTATACATGTTTGTGCGTCAGATGCCGATTTGCACCGGCCTACATTATCGGCCCAATATTGCCCAATGTTATAATGCCTTAAGTGGTTGGCCAGCATTACTAGGCCAGCCGTCATACTGTCAGCTGACGCTAATCGGCATCTGTCGTACAACATATATATGTAAATTTATCAATTAATTAAATTTTTTATTTTTGAGTCATAGCTTAAAATATATTGGAGTTTATGCTCGAAGGATACTACTTATCTAAAATTTTATGGATTAACTAAAGATCCAAATACTAAAGAATTTATGATGATTATGGAACTCGCAGATCAAGGAAATTTAAGAAATGTTCTTTCAAAAGATTTTAAAAATATTTTATGGAAGGATAAATTATATATTTTAAATAATATAATACGAGATCTTAAAAATTTACATAAACTAGGATATATTCATAAAGATTTTCATAGTGGAAATATATTACAAACTTGTAATTCAAATAATAAAACAAATATTTCGTATGTTTCAGATTTTGGATTATCTAGACCAATCAATGAAAAAAATTCAGATAATAAAATATATGGTGTATTACCATATATTGCTCCAGAAGTTTTGAATGGTGAGCCATATACAACATCTTCTGATATTTATAGTTTTGGTGTAGTTATGGCTGAATTGTCAACTGGAAGACCACCTTTTTATGAAAGAAAACATAGTTTGAGTTTAGCATTAGAAATATGTAATGGATTCAGACCAGAATTTGGAAAAGGAACCCCTGAAATTTATAAGAAATTAGCTTATAGATGTATGAGTGCAAATCCAAAACAAAGGCCAACAGCTAATGAATTACATACATTATTATATTATTTGTACTATTGTATATTTGATATTGAGAATTTTCCATACTCTGAAGATGATTTTCAAGAAAAGTTTGGACATGAAATAGAAGAAATTAAGCTTAAATTTAAAAAAGCTGATGAAGAAATAAAAAATATTTCAACTTTATATAAAAATAATTCTGATGCTATTTACACTAGTAGAGCATTTAAATTTAATAACTTACCAAAACCAATAGATTCGACCATTATTCTTTCATACTTAGATGATGATAACTACCGAGGTATTGTGTTTAAAGGATTTTATTATTTAGTGTATATTTAATTAAAAACTATAATTGCTAATTAAAATTAATTAATACTTATATGTAGAATCGATAGAACATGATTCTCAATTAAATAATTTAGATGTGTTAAATATTAGTATTAATAGTTAAATCTCTTTAAATTAAATTTTTGGGTGATTAAGAATTTTTTAAATGTGTGAATTCCTTAACATGAACTTCTAAAAAACTTAACTCACAATATTGATGGAAAAAACCTAAAGATTTATATAACCATCCTAGAGATTTGTGCGAGAATTTAGAATTAATTTAAGAAATTTAAGAATCCCGGTGCTTCTTTTTATCACATTTAAAAGGTAATTTAGTTATTATTTTTGTTAGTAATATAATTGAACCATTATCTGTATTAAATCTAAACTATAAATTTTCAAAATTGAGTTAAGGGTTCGGACTTCTCAATTTAAACATATATACCGACTGTATGTGGAATTGAATATAAGACCAGAATATTAACGTTAAATATTTTGGTATTTGTCAAGAAAATCATGATTTACGAAGCACGAAGCCTTTAATCATCGCGTGTTCTACCAACGATAGCTTTCAAATATTAAAGCATTATATCCTCACTTTCGTTAGACAAAATTGAAATCTTCCAGATCAGTATGTGCGCATTCATAATGTATAGAATGCTTATGAAGCCGAATGGTAAAACAATCAGATTTTAAGTTCTATTTCTTAGCAAATTAGAATTTCAAAAGATTATGAAATAAGAAAACGTCTTTTTTTTAACGATAACAGATAAGGAAACCTGCAGGCCCAACATTGTAAGATCACATTAAAAGGATAAATTAGTGGACAGCACACTTTTTTGCGTTAAAACGTATATATATTTTTATTTTTATTATAAATCCCTGTAAAAAATCTGATCCGTGTTTTACCTTTCCATGTTTTTTCCGTAAATGTATCATTTTCATGGAATTTATAGCCTTAAATCATGGAAATTTTCATCTCGCTAACACGGATATCCGTGAATGTATCATTTTCACGGAATTTTTACGGAAGACACGGAGAAATAATGGAAATATTCGGATAAAAATTTTTTATAGGGAATAAAAATCAATATACAAGTAGAAAGATTTAAACAACATTATGTTAAATCAAATATAAATAAATACTAATCACGTAAATGCAAAATGTTCTAATTCGTTCTTGAAATCTTCAGGGCATTGAAGTTTTTTAATATTAAAAATACAATAATATAACATAGTATGTAATTAATTAGTTGTTAATCTTTGTCGTATTCATTCATATATAACAATTTTTTATAAATTTCAGGGGTTCCTTTACCAAATTCTGGTCTGAATCCATTACATATTTCTAATGCTAAACTCAACCCATGTTTTCTTTCATAAAAAGGTGGTTTTCCAGATGATAATTCAGCCATAACTACACCAAAACTATAAATATCAGAAGATGTTGTATATGGGTCACCATTCAAAACTTCTGGAGCAATATATGATAATACTCCATATATTTTATTATCTGAATTTTTTTTCATTGATTGGTCTAGATAATCCAAAATCTGAAACATACGAAATATTTGTTTTATTATTTGAATTACAAGTTTGTAATATGTTTCCACTATGAAAATCTTTTATGAATATATCCTAGTTTGTGTAAGTTATTAAGATCTCGTATTATATTATTTAAAATATATAATTTATCCCTCCATAAAATATTTTTAAATTTCTTGAAAGAACATTCTTAAATTTTCTTGATCTGCGAGTTCCATAATCATCATAAATTCTTTAGTTTTTGGATCTTTAATTAATCAATAAAATTTTAAATAAATAGTATCCTTCGAGCATAAACTTCAATATATTTTAAGCTATTATTCAAAAATAATAAATTATGTACAGTAATTATAAAATAAACTGTAGATTGAAGTATCTTATTTAAATATTCAGGTGACATATTCCGTGATCCTTTTATAGGTTCAGAACCTATTTTTTCCATTTTCCATCATCTTGTTTAGCATATCTTATTTTACCAGTCATCAATCCATGTTGCATAATATACCTTTGCAAATCCACCTTCGCCAATTTGTTTTATATCTTTAAATGATACTCATTAAAGAAATAATGGATGGTTGTAATAGTAGTAGTAATGATTAAAATTATTTTCGTCAATTGTTTCCTTAATAAATTTATCAATTCCTTTATTTTCACTGGATAATAATTCATTTTTTCCAAACAATTTTACAATAATAACAATAATAACAATATTAATGAGGGAAAAGTCGTTTATTAAATGGGAAATTCATTTTTTTTTACATCTGGGTTTATTAAACTTGTTACACAGCAATTTTGGTACAATATTCAATACCGTAAATTGGAAAACGGATAAAATGAGCCTGAAACGGAAGATTTCATTAATGAAGTGGATTTATCTAATATATATAATTAGGGAAGATTCATTGATTGGCTGAAGTAATCAAATAATGAATTTAATAAATGATTGAATGTTTGTATCACAAATTCGCAATAGTCAATAATCGTCATTGGTTAAATATCAAAATGGAAATTAAATGAATGATGAATGAACATTTGTACCATCATTACAATGATAAATCATTCATTGATTATTAGCGATAGTATGCTTTTGGATGATAAATTTCTGACGATCATCTTCCAAATTTATTCACTTTTTCGCTTAATTTGTAGTTTGTCATACGATCTACATGCATTTTTTCATAATTTCGGAAATGCTCAATGTGAACTTTTTTGATTCAATTTTATATAGCTATATATATTGCAATAGCTATATAGCTATAGACGTTGTTATTGCAATATTGCTTCTTTGATATCATTAGAATAAAATTACAAAATATTCATTTTTGTGCCACTTTCGCTACATATTAACTTGAGGCATCAAACAATAAGTTTTATATTTGTATTTGATTTTGTTGATCTTTATTGATTTTCAATAAAAATTTATTCAAATATATTTCTTTTTCGTTAAAAAAATTGAAACGTGTAGATGATCATGTAGATCTTGTGATAATCAAAATAAAAAAGTGTTAGACGAAAATTTTTTTCAAAAATTTTTCTTTTTTTATAAATTTTTTTACATTTTTTTCTATTTGTAAGATTAAATATTTGGATATTACATAATC